ATTTTGAACTTCAATATTTTATTTTAGTTTAGTTTAGGTTTTAATATATTAAGTTCCCAAGAAAGAAAATGTTAATATAATAGTCATAATTTTTTTTTTTAAATTATAATTCAAATTAGCGACGAAAATGACAACACAAATTTGTTGCTAATTAGTGATCGACTCATTTCATGGATAATTTGTGACGGATAGAGTTGGTGCCAATATCGTTGATAATTAGCTATGAAAATTGTTGTTGGTAAACACTAACGAATTTTAGTTAATTTACCTATGGTCAAAGAAATCCGTCAGTAAAATTAGTTGTGAGGGTGATTTACCAACATAAGAGTTCTGTCGCTAAAAGCCTTTACTTACGGAATTAAGGGCCCGTTTGGGATGACTTTTGAAAAGTCAAAAGGAGCTTTTGAGAGCCAAAAGCCGCTTTTGGGCCATTGACTATTTTTGTTTAAAGTGCTTTTGGAGGTTAGAAGAGCTTTTAGAGGAAGCTGATTTTTTTGACTTCCTCCAAAAGTACTTTCGGAATGGGAAGTGATTTTAAATATTAATTTTCAAACAAAAATTAAAATAGCTTTCTCCAAAAGCTCTTTTACAAGAAGCAAAAGCCAAAGTAAAAGCCGTGCCAAAAGGGCCCTAAGTCATCAATGATTAAAATTTTCGTCTCTAAAATTGCTTTTTTTTTAAGTACTAATTTTGACTTAGAGATATTCTGATCTTAACTTATTTGTTATCAAATTGCGTAATATGCACAAAGATGGATGGATAAATATTTTGAGTTAGTTTTTTTTTTTTTCCCTTTTTTTTTTTTTTTTTAAGCCCTTTTTTTTTTTTTTTAAGGCCCTTACTTTTTACTTTAGAATGATTTCAACCAATTTTTTTAATAATTGTCATCACAGGTCTTCTAAACAACATTGCAACATTTGAAATATAAATATTGGCAGCATCTCAAATTTTATTTTTAATAGATTGCCCTTCAAAAATTCTATTTTGCCCACTATATCCGCTTAATTTAATTATCCAACTTTTTTTGACGAAATTATAAGTAATTTGACTTACTTTTAAGTACAATGAAACATGCTCATATACAAATAAAAAAATAAAATACAAAAGCTCGTTGATTTATTTGTAGTGGCGGTCTTGACTATAGACGGGGTAAGAGATCACTTAAGACCATGCTTTGGCGAGACCCCCAAATTGTACAAGGTTAATTAGTTGGTTGAAGAAAAATGAAAATAATATTTATAAAATTCTTTTAAAAAGATTTATTATATGTAAACACAAAAAATTAATAAAAATTAGAAAATACAAAAAAACTTTGAAAAAAAAAATATAGATGGCATAAAACTTAGAGTAATTCGATAAATGACTCATTTAATTTCATGTATCAGTTAATGCCATATTAGCGTCATCTTTAAAACTTATCACTTATATTTGTTTATCACGTAAATATATCCACAAACATCACCCTCTCTATCTAACTAGTTTGACCATTTATTTTCTAAACATTTTTATTCTTTTCTTAACTAAACAAAATGTCTCTTTTATCTTTTCAAAATTACACACAAAATAGTCACCCACCGTAATTTTTTAACCCAACAAGAAATAATTTATTTCTCTTAGAATTAAAATTTTGAAGATTCTATTTAATCGATTGATATGATTTCCCTGCCATTATTACAGTTTTACAAGTTTCTTTCTTTCTCCTTTATTTTCAAAACATATATTATAGAGTAAATAGACTGTTATTATTATTGATTTGCTTTAATATCATGATAATAGCCTTTTAAATGTACGTTGAAGGTAATTTGAATTTAATCATTTTTTGTCCGTATTCATACTTTTTATTTGTGAGTTAATTCCTACTGTAATCAAGATTCTTCAATTCTGTACATAAAGTATTCAAATGCATATTCAACGTTGTTTGAAATCATTGCACGGAGAAAATAATCAAAGAAACAAATAGACCCTTTTGCCATTGCATTATAATTCTATTTAACTTACTTCACTTCTAATTTATATTATATGTTGAAATATGACTTTTTTTTTTCTCTTCAAATTTTAGAACTTAGTGGTCTGAATTAGATTTTTCATAATTATATTAACATTCTATGTAAGAAAACTCAAAATATAAGAGCTACATATTTAAAGTTAGCTTAAGACCCGAAAATAGTAGGGTGGGGCCCTGTTTATTTGCTATTTAACATGTCGAAGTGATTGCTATTTTGTAATAATTTCAGTATCAAGAAAAGATAGTTGTGAATTTGTATTGAATATTTACTGATTTAGCCCCCGTTTGGCTCCATTAAATTTCATTACATTACATTTCATCTTTCTCTCTCTCCTATTTTCAATCACACAATCTTCCATAAAAAATAATACTATACATAAATCGAAAACTTTTCATTCTTTTTCAACCACTCATTTTTAAAAAAAAAATACTATTCCATCCATTTTGACTTCTAAAAATTGGGGGGCTAAACGGGGCTTAATGTACAACGTGAGCCATAACGATGAGTCGGTGACAATCGAATCACTGCTAAACTAATATTTGTGTTACATCATGCTTCCACGTGTTACTAAAAATTATTTATTGATCGAAAATGATGAGAAATAAATTCATAACAAAAGTTCAAAATAAATAATTAGATACAAAGAAAAGATCAAAAAATGATGAATATTTTTTATTTAAACCATCAAGTTGTAAGTCATACATTGCTTAATTAATATCTTCATTAGACTTAAATTACAACCATGCTTCGAGGGTTACAAAAACCGATTTTAAGATCAAAATTGATGAGTATTGAATTCAAAAGAAATGTGCGCACACACACAAAAAAAGGTTTTTGTTATAAACATATTTGAATCTTTTGTGGTGAATAAGTTTTCACACAAACTGTTTATATATATATGATTTCATAAGCACCGGTGCTTAGCTTATGTTAAACACCGATGACATGACACATCATTTAATTGGTGAATAAGTTAATGGTAGGTCTCATAAATTTAATGATTGACCAATTAAATAGTGTGTAATGTCACTGGTGCTTAATATAAACTATGTATCGATGTTTAGGAGATAATTTCCGATATATATATCATTCTTGAGACATGATTCCCAAAGATAGTTATAGACAGTATTTGATTACTAGGTGAATGGTATTTATTAATAATTAGATTAGGATTGTGTTATTTGTAGACTATTTTTTTTATATTATTCTTGAAATTATCAATGTAGTCAACAAATAATTGGATGAAAAAACTATTTCCTTTTTAAGTTGTCCAATGGTTTAAAGTCACGTACTAAGTGTAAACAATGATGTAAGCCATAATGTACACCAATCTTGATTGGATTAGATTATCGAAGTGAATAGTATTTATAGAAATTTAATTAGCAACAATAAATAGTAGTAAATTTATAGTGAGTATTTACTAGTTTAACGTACGACAATAATTCTAAAGGAATAAACCACAAAAAGATAACAATCTATTCAACACTAAATTAATATTATATAACACTACAATTACAGTCATGCTTCCAGTGTTACTACAATCATTTTGTGATCAAAATTGATAAGGAAAAAAATTATAATAGAAGTTGAAAATATGTGATTTGGAACAAACAAAAGATCGCCTAATGAATAATTATTTTTAATTTAAAATCGTGTTGTTAGTCATACCTTGATTAATTGATATCTGCTTAGACTTTAATTTTAATTATGCTTCCGCATGTTTCTAAAACTAGTTTTATGATCAAAATCAACAAGTTATAAATTCAAAACAAATGCTCAAAGTAGGTAATTCGAGCTAAGTTGAAGAATACAAATTAACACTCTTTTTAAGTAGTCATATCATAACGTTATAAACATATTTAAATCTTTCTCAACAAACAAGTTCCCACGCAAATTACATGCAAAATCAAAATATCTTGACGAGACTTAACTACAAAGTCTACCGTAAATACAAAAATAATTTAATGTATTCAATAGCTGAACATATTATCTAAAAGTATTATGTTATAATAAGTTCAGTTTTAAAAGAAGTACATCGATCAAGAATTACTTTTCTAAATTTCGACATTATAACTCCTTACGTAGGTAAGATTATTATTTAAATTTGGCTTTTTAAGATTATAAGTTGATTGAACATACTAATAACTAAATTCAATTTGAAGAAAAATAGGAATATAAAAAACAATAATAATAATAATGTTAATCAGGTAGAAAGTAAAACCAAGTAGGACTAGAGTATTACCACATTGACTTCACCTAATCATGGGAATCCACGAAACATTCGGGTTCGGGTCATCGTATCAGTGTCCGAGCAAAAGGCCTTCGCCCCTAGTTCTCATTATACATACAACAGATGTAAGTATATACGACCTTGCGGTGTCGTGCTCAAGTGTCGTGCATGCATTTTGTGCACTTGTTCCATTTGCATGCACTCACGCTTTCTCTCTCTCTCTCTCTCTCTCCCTCCCCCCTCCCCCGGCTCTTCTCTTTTTTTCTCACTCTAGAAATATACATACAATTCTGCATCGTCGCATCTCTTCTGTCTAATTTAATTGAACTTAAACTCTGCCCAGAGCAGAAGCACCACTAGGGACCGCCTCCCGTTGTTTTCTTGACTTTCGTATGTACTCCAAGATATGAAGTCAATTCTATAAGCAACTCAAGAAATGGGTTTTGGATTCCCTTAGAGTTGTTCACGCGTAGACGTAATAATTTCTTGATTTGAATGAAGTGTGATTTATCAGGAAATGGGTTTATTATAAATCGATTTGGATTGTTGAATTGAAAGTTTCTTTTTCTGTTTTTTGAAAAAATTGATCTGGGTCAACAGGATTTTCTTGGTCTTGTTTTAGGGTTTTGGTTTTGGCTTTTCAGATTTGGACTTTGTAGGGCTTATGATTGAACGATTGAATTTTGTTGAAATGGGGTCAAAGATTTGCATGAATGAGGTTTGCCGTGCAACGACGTCGTCTGTATGGAAGAAAGGTNGATTGAATTTTGTTGAAATGGGGTCAAAGATTTGCATGAATGAGGTTTGCCGTGCAACGACGTCGTCTGTATGGAAGAAAGGTTGGGTCTTGAATTCAGGTGGATTTGCTACCCTTTGCTACAACTGCGGGTATTTTTCTTAATTCCAATTTTAGCCCTATTCAATCAAAAATTTCCACTTCATCTTTATCAGAGTTGATTTCAGTCTTTAGGGGTAGTTTGGGGATGTGCACATTGGATCCCTGAAATGTGAGATTTTTGTTTGATCGACGTGCAATTTTTGTATTTGAATTCTTGTAAACTCTCGTATTGTGATTTCTTGAAGATTCGATTTATTTAGAAGGATCATTGGGTTAATTGATGACCCGTTATAGTAATTGCCATAAAAATTTAAATTTTAGAAACTGGGAAAACAGAAAACATAAGTCAAAAAGGTTTTAAGGTTATTGATCCACTTCTATAATTAGTTTAAGATAGGTAATGAAATTATTTAACTTCTATATAATTTTTAAAGCTTTAAAACTTTTAACATTTGCTTCTATTTAATCAGGAGACAGTGGATTGCTTAGGTTTCCTGATCTAATAATTGCCCCATGTATCTTTGTTATCTTTTGCATTCAATTCCGGTCATGTTTTTGCACGTTATTATAGTACTTTTGTCGGTTGATGAACGCAAGCTTTCATATATTTGTTTTGAATTAGTTTGATTGAATTCCTTTCTAACTTATAATAATTGATTCTAATGTGAATGTACTTACTCCGGTTATAGAAATCAATATTCATTGCGTTTTCTTTCCAATTAATCTGTTGGCTATGTTATTTGTGTTGTGCAAATTCATTTAAATAGCTATGTCGTCTATCTATTCTGTTCATCCCTTGCTTGACTTGACCTTTTCTGGATTCCAGATCAGCTTATGAGAATTCAGTTTACTGTGAAACATTCCATCGAGATGAATCTGGTTGGAGGCAATGCGCTAAATGCGGGAAGGTAATAATAGTTTAAAATCATTGGGTTTTCGATTTTAGTTTCTTCCCATTTCCTGACTCTATTGAATTTGTTGTGGCAGGGTATCCACTGTGGATGCATTGCTTCAAGATATTCACATGAGTACCTGGATTTTGGAGGTGTTGGGTGCATAAACTGTGTTAAGAGTTCAGAAATTCATTCTGTGCAATCAATGCAGGTAATTAGTCATTTGAATTTGCATTGAGCAAGAATTATTTTCTAATGATGCTATGCATGCGCGAATCAGAGGATAAAGTTTTTTGTAGGCCATGCATTTCTTTCTGTATTTCACGCATTTATTTTTATAAAGTTGGGCAGTTTAGTTGATAATAATATGGTTGAAAGTCGGAAGATAATAATATAGTTGAAAGTCGGAAGTTAATAACAGGTTGGAAGTTGAATGACATGTTGTTTGACAATGCTTTAGAAAAAGTAAACATATTGTGCAAAAGGGGGGGAAAATCAGATATCCTAAAAAACTGTGAAAACTTCAGATGTTTGGCAAAAAAAAAAAAAAAAAATTACTTAGTTTTTCATCTCAGCAAAACTTGCTTTANGTCTCAATAGCAAGTTAGTCATCAATGTTTAACTAGGAGCAAGTTGGTCCCAACCATTTATTAGAGTTGCACAACAAGTCTCCAATGATGGAATCATACATCTGTTTAAATTTCTGGTACTAGTCCGATTTAGGATTTGATATTGGGTGTGTTTGCATTGACTAACTATTCAACTATAATGGAAGATTGGGAACTACTCCAGTCTGAAGTTTGGGGGTTAACTTGCTAAAGCAACAATAGATTGAGGGCCAACAGGGAAATTTTCCCATTCAATTCATATCTACTATATGCCTTAACTATCATTTCTAGTTTGAAATCGACTATTGTTCCATTGTTTGAGAAGGTTCTGAGTGCCAGTGATGCTGGTCGAATTGGTCGCCTGGTCCTCCCAAAAGCATGTGCTGAAGTGAGCATTTATTTCTTCGGACAATGTCCCTAACAAGCATGTTGTTTAAAATCGCAGAGGTTCATACTTTTGTTCTGCGCTTTCAGTGTATTGTATATTTAAATATAATGTTCTGCAGGCATACTTCCCTTCTATTAATCAATCAGAAGGTATACCAATTAGGATCCAGGACATAAAGGGGAAAGAGTGGACATTTCAATTCAGATTTTGGCCCAATAATAATAGTCGGATGTATGTCTTGGAGGGTGTAACCCCTTGCATCCAAAATATGCAAGTACAAGCTGGTGATACAGGTATTCTCTTTTGAACCCAACATCTGAAAATTTAAGCTATTTCTCTATTATGTAGTACCATGGTTGCCATTTTTTCCGTCTACGTTTAGTTTTATTGTTTAGTAAGAGTGATTTACTTCATCTAGAAATTTTTCTTGATATGCATACCCTTGGACAGACTCATTTAGTTTTTTCTACCCCTTGCATCACTATACTGTTTACAGTTATTTAATGATCTCAAACAAAATTTTACATATTATGGTTTGACAATTCTGAGAGAGAGAGAGTTCTCCTTTTTTTACCACCCACTATTTGGCTGCGGGACAACTAGTGATCTTCCAACATGGAATTAAATTATTGGCTTCCTTTAATGCTTATGGTTACATTTACTAGGAAATTTCATAATGTTTTAGGTTCTCCTGCAATCTTTTTAATGCCGTTCTTATCATGCATGTCTTTGTCTTTGGTGCAGTGACGTTTAGTCGGATAGATCCTGGGGGTCAACTTGTCATAGGATGTCGAAAGGCTACAGACAATGTTGATACACAGGTCAGACTTCTTAAGCATTTCTCTGCGTTTTATAATTTTATTTTATTTTCTTAATTGTGTGAAATAGCTGATATATAGTTTACTGGCAAACAATTAGGATACCCAAACACCTTTGCTTCCAAATGATGATTCTCCAGGTGAAACGTCATTTTCTGGTCCTACAGACAATCCACTTTCAGTGAGTTTTAATTATCATTTTGATTTTTTATTTTTTAGTTTTTTTTAAAAACATTTTGTTGATTGAAATGCTCCTTGATTTGTGAAAATCGGGAAGAACGGGGCCAAAACAAGTGATGATTCCATGCAACAGCATAAACCCGTATCAGAGAAGAAGAAAACACGAAATATGAAAAATAAGAGGCTCCTCATGCATAGCGAGGATGCTATGGAGTTGAGAATAACGTGGGAAGAAGCACAGGAGTTGCTTCGTCCCCCTCCAACTGTTCAACCCACAATTGTCACGATCGAGGACCATGCATTTGAAGAATATGATGTAAATAAAGTTTTTATCTCGAAATTCTCTCTTCATTATTGGACAATATTGTTTATATGCTTCTTAAATTCTAATAGCACGTTTGGCTAAGCTTGAAAAGAAGTAAAAGCACTTTTTGTGGAAAGTAAATATAGACTTACTTTTATAAAAGTTAGTTTCAAACTTCAAATCCCAAAAAATCGACGAGTAACTTCTAAAAAGCCCGAATGTTTTTTGCAATACAAGTTTCCTAAAAGTAACTTATGAGCTCAGCCAGACATGCTTAATGCCATTCTTAGGGGAGCCTTCAGCATATATGTGGTTTTACTTATTTATTCTATTCTTCTATCTAGGAACCGCCAGTTTTTGGAAAGAGGACAATTTTTACATCTCAACCTTCTGGGTAAGGAACCTTTTTTTTTCTTTTGGTTTTTAAAAATTCTTACTACTATTTTAGGAAAATAATTAAAAACAATCTAGATATGGTGGTAGTTTTTGCGGTTATTATGTTTTTGCGAGATGTCAAATCTCGTTGCTAAGCTTATTGCTGATATGCATTTACTTTGAAAAGCTGAAGGGACAGGAAAATGAACGCATTCAGTCATTGAGTTTCCTTTGATTCTGATGATAAGATCGGTGCATGAAAAGTGTACTGGTTAAAATGGTTTAGTTTTTATTCTATATAAATGATGTAAACTGTGTATATATACCAGCTACATAAAGAATTAAATATGCTTATCAGGGAGCAGGAACAATTGGCTCAATGTGACAGTTGCTCGAAATGGCGAAGGTTGCCTGTACATGTTCTTCTTCCTGCAAAGTGGACATGTTCAGAGAATCTATGGGACTCAAATAGGTTTGCAACTTTCAATTTTTGTTAGAATTTATATTTGACCATAAATGAAGATGTTGCTAATTAATCCCATGTTTTTCCATAAACTGGCTATATATTTTGCTGCCGATATAACTGGTAAACTATTTGTATAGTTGAACTAGTAATATAAGGTCTGCCCTCTTCCATCGATTTTTGTCAAGCTTGATTAAAGCAGATTTGTTTAGTACATGATTGTGATTTTTTTCCAGGTCTTCATGTTCTATTCCAGAGGACATTAATTCAAGTGATATGAGTGCCTCTTTTAGAGTTTGCAAAGGTATGAACTAGGGCTCCCTTTAATTTATACAAAGCTCTCTCTCTCTCTCCCCCCTTCTGTGTGCGTGGCCATGTTCTGTATATATGCATGTTTTACGTGCGCATCAGAGAAACACGTGCAGACCAAAATTGTACATGTACAACTTTGGTGCTGCTTTTTCTCTTTGAAATGGACAATATATAGCCCAAGTGAATGGACGAAACGCTCTTGTTTCTAGTTGCCCATATTTTGTTATTCAAGTTGATTTGTCTATTTCCAATATTATATAAATTTCGATACCAATCAATTCATGTAGCATTGCTTTACTTTTGCATTTTTCAGAGTCTAAGAGGCGGCGAAGTGCAGACAACAAGGCATCCAAAGATGGAGAACCTTCAGGATTGGATGCATTGGCAACTGCTGCAGTTTTGGGAGATAACATGGATGACTTAGCAGAGTCTTTAGTCGGAGCCACTACAAAACATCCTAGACATCGACCAGGTTGCACTTGCATTGTCTGCATTCAGCCTCCAAGTGGAAAAGGTAAGCACGAGCCCACGTGCGAGTGCAATGTTTGCTTGACTGTTAAACGACGTTTCAAGACACTCATGTTGCGTAAGAAACAACGGCAATCAGAACTTGCAGCTGAGCTTGCCCTTGGAAAGGACGAGGCCCAAGTGGACGTTAAATTAGAAAACGATGATGACATTGCTGGGCAAGCATTGCTGCAGATGAATCTTCCAAAAAACGAAAGAATCCAGGACAGAAACTCAGTGGACTTGGACGAGGACAGCAAGGAACAGTTGGACTTGAACTGCCATCCGGATCGTGAAAATGACCTAGTCGAGGCAGCTGGAATGAGCTTGGCGACCTTAATCAAAGATGCTGATATTCCATCCGAGGCAGGTTTACAGAAGAACGAAATCCCAAGCTCAGAACCAGATTTACTCTCCCGAACTGCGAGCGAGAGTTGTGAACATATCGCTGATGAAGGGGGTATCTTGTCTGGAAACGTCGTGCAGGAGAACAAGAGCGAAGATGGCGAATCTGGGACCGGCTTGAATTGATATAAAGTTATGTGTATTATTATATTTGTTAAACTACAGAATTGTCTTGTTGAGTTTTAAGTGTATCCGAATCACAGTTGTTTTTCCTCGAGTTATATTCGCAACCTCGTACTTGTTAGATATTTTTCATCATTTTGTATGTATTTATTTTTTGTTTTGCAAATGATTTGCCGCCCGAACTAGTGTTTGCCGCTGCGCAATGGGCACTATTCAAAC